GAATTATATATAGGTATAAAAAAAAATTTACTTGTTATTCATATAAATAGTTAAATTTTCATTTAAAATTTATATTTTAAAAATTAAAAAGTCAAATTAAGTCTATTAAAAATAAATGGAGATACTTTTAAAAATGATTAATCTTTATTACTTAATAAGTTAAAATTAACTTATAAATTGATATTTTTAAATAATATAACTAACTGTTAAATTATAAACTAATAAAATTAATCAAACTAAAAACAATTATTATACTTTTTGTATGGCATTAATAAAAGGGTTGGTGGCAAAAACCATGCCCAGATTAGAGTGGTGACTTCATTTTTCCTTTTTTGCTTTTGTAAAATTATAAAATTGTAAATATTATTATTATTATTATTATTATTTTGATTTGAATAACTTCTTAAATTATTTTTTAATAATATTATAATCATTTCTACCCTGCTAACAGGGGGAATGGGAAAGGGAAAATCTGGGGACTTTAATATTCAACCTGAATGATATTCCCACAAAAGCTCGTGGTAAGTCACTAGGTTTAAAAGGTGAGGAACAACTTCTTAAATTATTTATTCTTTTTAGGGAGAAATTTAAGTAATATTTGATGAATGTTAAGAATGCTTCATTTAAAATATTTTTTTCTTTATTATTCCTCCCGTTTTCCTTTAATAAAAAATAAATATTTATTATTAAATCATGAATTAATTTAGTAGCTTAAAGAAGATCAATTTTTAATGTTCCTTAATTTAAAAAACCCTACATAGAGCAGTAGTAGTTGCCACGTAGGAGTTCTCACTGAACTTGAGATCAAATACTTTTCATTTCCTTTTTTCCAAAAAATTATAATTCTATTAAAAAAAAGAGTTTTTTAAAATTTTATTTAAGATTAATATTTATTCACTTAACTTTATAAAGATTAAAAATAATTATTTTAAAATTTCATTATTTTAATAAAATATTATAAAACAATAAGCTTTTTAATTCATATTTTAAAAAAATATTTTAATATTTTAATAAAAATTTATTAAAACAATATAATTTTTAAATAATTTTTAAATTATTTAAAAATAAGATGAATAAATATTATTTTTATTTTTTTAAATATTTTTTTATAATTTTATGACAAAAAAAAAGGAAAAACAAAAGAAGATAGTAATCCCAGCTGAACATGACAGAAGAATCTCAGCAAATCCAAGGCGGCAGCTACGAAATCCAGCACTGCAACTATTGCTAGCGATGTATGCAAATGTGGGGAATCAAATGTGTAAAGCTTAGTTTCGCAGTGCTGCTTGCTGTTATTTTGTAGTTATGTTGTTAGAAATGTTAAGTTATATTATTATAAAAA